GACACGAGAGCGGTTGCATAAGCCCGCTTTAATGCTTTTTTAAAAGCATAAGGGCGGGCTAAAAAACAACAAAAAAACACGACATTGCTGTTATATTATGCTATGGTAGTGTCGTCGATGTGACGTTTTTTGTCCTGTGATATTGAAGGGAATGATATTTCAGGTACTACCAGCCGAGACTGTTCAGCATTGTAAGCGTGAACCCTCGCCTCCGCCGCTCCACCTGCGAGGTGCGGAACGAGGCCTACTACCGCCAGCAAGTGCTGCTCCACGTGCCCTGGCGCGCTGAGGACGGCACCTGGCGGGAGGCCTTCGTCACCAACGGGGTCGTCCCGCAAGGAGTGGACGACATGCCCGCCGCGGAGGAGGACGAGACGGAGGCTGGAGAGTACGCTGCTGACGAGGAGCTGGAGGAGTGGATGGCCGTCGCCTGCCATCTACCCAACCAGGCCATCGAACGAGTCGAGCTAGGCAGACGAGACATGGATCTTGCGCATGACTGGGATGTCGAGGGCCAGCTATACGGCGATCCAGCTGTCTTCGCTACCTACCTTGCCGCTTGCAAGGACCAGCATGAACCGGAACGCGTATCCTTGGACGCTCCAACTGTCCAGCTGTCTGCTGAGCAGCAGTCAGTGATGGATATCTTGATGTTGCAGGTGAACTGTTTGCTGCACCCGGAGGATGCGCCATCAGCGCCAAGCTTCGTCATTGTCCAGGGCAAAGCAGGATGCGGGAAGTCGACCGTCATCCACGCCATGACGTCTCTGTTGAGGGACCGTGTTGGGCCGGACTCGTACCGGCTGATGGCCTACACTGCAGTTGCAGCTCTCGGCATCAACGGCGAGACGATACACACCGGACTCCGCATCCTGTCTGGGGACTTCTCTCCTCTTGTGGGGGAACGAGCCAAGGCTTTCCAAGACGAGATGGAGAACGTCCACTTCCTTATCATAGATGAGTATTCTATGATTAGTATCGGTACCTCCTATCAATATGCGCTTATTTGTTTTTAGTCCACACAGACCCGCTCATTACTAAGGGCTCTAAACAGAACCGCTTATCTGCACGGGTCCTACACAGAACCGCTTATCTTTCTGAAATACGGGCGGGTGATTCTCATATTTCAATGGATGTTTCTAGGCGCTGAGCTCCAATTAAGAAACAAAAAATGTAACATAGTCTCTCGTCTGTACTGGAACACCGTTTTTAAACTGCTATAACCCGCAAAAGCCTCCGATATTGGGTGATATTAAAGTAAATACGAGGGGCAACCTAACCTAACCAGCGCCCCGGCCGCGAGCAGATAAGCGGTTCTGTGTAGGACCCGCGCAGGTGAGCGGTTCTGTTTAGAACCCGAGATGATGAGCGGGTACGTTTAGCCTAATGAATTATAAGCCTATATTGATAGGAGGTACCGGTATGGCTATGTTAGGTATGATAGAAGAGCGCTGTTGCCAGGCTCATCCATACTCCCGGGAACGCTTTGGACATATGTTCGTTTACCTCTTTGGCGACCTTGCACAGCTTCCCCCTATAGCTAGCACAGCACTGTATGGTATCCCATCAGAGAATGCGTCCGAGAGGGTCCTGCGCGGGCGTCAGGCGTTTAGCGAGTTCCAGCATGCTGTGGTTCTCTCACAGTCAAAGCGACAGTCCGACCCCAGTTTGCAAAACGCCCTAGATGAGATCGGAAGGGGCCACTGCTCCGCCCAGAGCTACGCGCTCCTTCAGCAGCGCTTTTCCAGTGTAGTGCCCCCAGGTGAGCAGCGTCAGTTCCGAGATGCTCTGCACATCTATTCCACCAAGGCGGGCGCCCGCGAGTACAACATCGAGAGGCTGGTAGACCTGGGGAGTCCCATGGCTCGCATCCCCGCTGTCCACAACAACGACACGGCCCGGGCAGCTACCGCTGACCAGGCGTGCGGCCTCGACGCTGTCATCTACCTCTCAGTGGGCGCCCGGGTCACGCTGCGGGCCAACCTCTGGACCAGAGATGGGCTGGGCAAGGGCGCGCTGGGCACCGTGCGCGCTATTGTGTACGCAAGTGGACGGTATAGGCCGGCTGCACGCGGACCTCAGGAGCCCTCTGCTCGTGATGTGGCGCCGCAACCTTCTTCCTCGCGTCACTCGGACGACCTGCCTCTCGCCGTGCTTGTCGAATTCGACAGGTACAGTGGCCCCACCATCTGTGGCGCTTTCCCTGTAATCCCTGTCACCCGTTCCTGGAAGGTAAAAGAGCTGGCGTGTACCCGTGAGCAGATTCCACTCCGACTCGCATGGGGCACAACTGTTCACAGTGCCCAAGGTCTAACATGCGACCGAGTCGTTGTGAACATAGGTAGGAGAGAATTCCAAGCAGGTCTCTCCTACGTTGCGCTTTCTCGTTGCAAATCTTGGGACACACTGCTCATTGGCCCTCCATTTATCCAGTCCCGCCTATCCACTCTCCTCTGCGCCCCGTCCCTTAAAAGGAAAGTGGCTGCAATTGGTAAAATTCACACCATAGCACGCCGCACGCAGGCTGAGCTCCGCTCGCTCGGAGCTTCTCGCCCGCACCTTCCACCACGTCCTTCTGGCCCTACTCCACCTACCTCTCCCCTTCCACTACCTCAACCTGCGCCACAGCCCCGTGGTCGACCAGGACGGCCTCCAAGGCCAACTCGTCAGCCGCCCACTCTAAACCCTCCCTCTAACCGTCCCTCGCGGCTGCTTCCACCCTCTCCAGTACCACCAGCCCCGCGCCCGCTGCCACCAGCACCTAATGACCTCCAGGTACAGCAAGAGGTCGGAGTTCACGTTGGAGGTGGCACAGTGACAGTGGCAACGATGCCTGGCAACGGGCACTGTCTGTTCGCGTCCCTCGTCCACCAACTGTATGGGACCCCACCAACCTCTCCAGACTTCGAGCAGCAGGTGTTTACCCTCCGTCGACGCGTTGTTCAGCACATCAGAGAGCAGCTCAACGGCGACGAAAGTGAACATTGGACAATGGTTCTGGAAAATATCCTCCTGGACCTGACCAACCGCTTCCCTGAACACGAAGAGGTCGACGGACACCTTCAAGCTGTGCCGCTTGCCACCCGAATCCAGCGGTTCCTCACCGCCCTGGAGTCTACGGCAGAGTGGGGTGCAGGAGAGACCCTCCGGGCAGTTGCCGAGATGGAGAACGTCACAATCAGGGTGCACTATGAGGCTGGAGGTGAGCCACTAATTTTCGGACAGGTTGGTCAGAGAGAGCTAGCAGTCGTCTTTCGGCTACGGGCTGTAGAAGAGGAGGAAGGGGCTCAAATGTGGAATCACTACGACAGCTGCATCTCATTCCAAATAAACGATCATTTTCTCACCGTATGACCATCTTGTTCAATTATCATTCCAGTGCAGTCTTTGCAATATCACTTCGCCTGGACACTGAGATTCTAGTACGGGTCTCAGGCACATACAAGTGATATTTGCTAAGGGCTGTACCGTTACACAGCATCTGATAAAATGTGTTCACATTTTATCTATATGTGTTCACATTTTTTTCAGATCGCTGTTTAGAGCGTGCGTTGTTTTAAAACCAACTTTTTCTGGACTGTGAGCTTCGGTACGCGTCTCAGTGGAAAGAATGCTTTAAAAATTTCGGAATGCTCCGCGTTTTAATTTCTAGGACTACTGTGTAATTTTTTCTAGGTATTGCAGGGGATTATTTGGAGGGGAAGGGGGGGAGGGGGCCTCCCGCTAGGGCGCGTTTTTATTAATAGTGCGCCCTGCGTGCGAGTCCCTCTCCCCTGTATCTTACTTCAATGAAGATCATTACTATGTGGACCATCAGCACCAAGGCCCCTTGAATTGACTTTTATTGCATTTTATGTTAGTTATGATAAGACGCCTATATGCCCTGCGTTTGCATTAACTGAAGATACAGAAGTCAACACCGGGGCTCCATAACTTATATCTCAACTGCCTTTAACGTTATTTTAAGAGTTGAAGATATATCTTGTAACTGGCGTCTTTTGGAACTAAGAAAATGATTCGACTTGTTTAATTTTTTCCGCCAAATAAGAGACCGATATCGCCGATTCAAGTCTTTTGTCATGTGAAAGGAGCAAATCTCTAGGGCCGCAGGCCCCCGACCGGAAGTAAGTTTTTCCAAATATGCAACGTGCATACCGTTCACATTATTTTTTTGGTTAGGTTCTCCAGTAAATCGGGAGACTGAAATGGTCGGGTGGCGGCCCCGACAGTCGCCACCGTCAGGCCAGGCAGGCCCAGGCCCCTGCCGAACGGAGTTGCCGGCGCATCGTAGTGGAGCTGGCAACTGCGTTTGGCGGAAGGGCGGTCCTGTTTGTTGTTCTTAATGAGGGAACGTTTTCGTGCACATCCTATACATGTGAACACGAAAACGTGCCCCTCTAAGGAACAAAATTGTCCATTCACTTTAGGCTTGTATGTTTCTTTGTAACCTGCACCTTCTGTCCCTTTAGTGATTGATTCACACCCGTTTGATGATCAAAGGACGACACCGCGCCCAAGGCTAGTAATGCGGCGTAGGTAGGGTAGAACCTCTTGGCCACGAAGCGACATCGGCTGGCCATAACTTGCAGAACTTCCTAGAGGTGCATAGAAAGGCACACAAACAATATAACATTCTGTTATCTGTACGGCAACTGAGCTCAAACTACCAGACATGATGCCATGCCGAGGAGTTTTTCACTTGCGTAATACAGTACACTTGACTGGGTTGCCTTAGACACCTGTCGTTACACCATAAGATATTAGCGATTAGCGAAGCCTACTACTCCAGTGATGATCAAAAAGTTTCGCGTCTGTCTGTCTGTACGCACGATAACTCGAAAATGGTTTTGAGCTAGAAGACTCTAATAGGGAGTTCCAGGCGATCTAGAACGGAAGTAGGAAAAGAACAAACTCACTGACCTTTTTGTTTCCGTAATGGCTCTGATTGGTCGAGCTTATCATGTGCCTCCGCGGCCTTTCAGGTATGAGAGATTGTCAGATCAGTTTTGTGCTCCCCTCCATATTTGAGAGGTTAGGATCGGACCAAACTTCCATGGTAGTTTCTCATACTGGGCGGACGGAAACAAATACATCAGTGAGTTTGTTCTTTTTAACTTCCGTTTTAGATAGCCTGGAACACCCTATTTTTATTGTTACTTTAAATCATACAAAGAAAGAACTGTATTGATTTAGAGCCCTGTGGCTCAAAAAATAACGTGTCAAAAAATCATAAACAAAAAAGCCCAAAACATTTCATTAGAAATTTTTTTTTTTACATCTTTCTGAGAAGTAACTCGTGAAACTGTAGTCCTTTGGACCAAATTTTGTCCGTTTTGCTCTATCTCTAACCGTTTGGGCGCCAGAGGGCGTTTTTCACACGGAATGACCCCAAAACATTTTAATGTTAGCTCTCAGATATTTGATGGTGTCCGGTAAAGTAACTAATCAAACTGAAACCTCGAGGAACAAAATTAGTAACTTTTCGGGCCGAAGGCCTATTGATGACTGTGCTCTTTGCCCGACTCGGGTGTCAGCGCCTCAGGCCTAGGTAGATGTATGCCAGGCGCATCGCAGCGTAACAGTGTTTCGTGAGATCGCGAAGCCTGTTACGCGAGACGTGGTCTGGCGTACATCTACCTAGTAGACAGATACAGTAGTTATCTTAACTAGTTGAGCTTGACTTTTAGATTAGATACATTCTCTGATGCATTACTTAATGATGGCAAAGCACTATTGCACTATGATTTTTTCTGTCGAAGGGTCCAAAATGTTCATTTCTTTGAAAGCCGTTACAAAAACAGCGGCTAAGCTGGGTCGAAAAATTGAATAGGAGTTGGACTTCAAAATTATTTAGACATCAGAGACACCATCAGACAGTCATTTCAAAACAGAATACGAATCATTTGCTTTACTTTTTAAACAAGGTAGATGTACGCCAGACCACGTCTCGCGTAACAGGCTTCGCTATATCTCACGAAACACTGTTACGCTGTGACGCGCCTGGCATACATCTACCTTGGCCTGCGGCGATGACACCTGAGTCGCCAAGTGCAAAAATGTAGACAAAGATACGGGCCTCCGGCCCGTCAACGGCCCGACACTTTGACTAAGCATGCAGGATCGTACATTTTTTCGCTTATTTTCGTTAAAAACGCCCTCTAGCGCCTCAACGATTTGAGCTAGAGCAAAATGGACGAAATTTTCGCCCAAAGGGCTCTACTGTGATGAGTTACCCCCTGGGAAATATTTTTAAAAAAGGCATTATTGGGACCCGTTGTTTTTGATTTTTTTAAAATCCAATTTTTGAGTTAGAATGCTCATCTTCGTACTCGACCTGTCTTTTTACGGTAGAAAACGACCCTGAAAATCCCAGGTCGCTCGCGTAATTCGTTTTCGAGTTATCGTGCGGACAGACACCGACACAGACACATAGACGGACAGACAGACAGACAGAAAAAGTTTTTTCCGACCAGACGGAGTAATAGGCTTCGCTTATCGCTCAGCCAACAACTCTGAGCTACACAACACGTTTTCGAGTCAAAACTCGAGCTAACTTTCTGGGTAAAGAAATTGATGTATTTGATGAATGGAAATCATTCTGAGGTCAGAAACACATAAGGTAGTATGAGATATAGTTTGTTTATTGGACTTGGAATCTTTTAATCACATACTTGCAAAATATTTTGCTACATTTGTGCTAATAAGTGTCCAACTTCGCATTGAAGTTGAAGGCATCAATTCGTGTAAAAATTGACCACTTGGATAAGAGAGACACACTTAATACCATCAGTATGTGGTTATGCATTAGAAATATAGTCTATTACACCACTTTTATTTGAAACATAGGCAGAATTATAGTCTCTCACACGCATGTGAAAAAAACTTTGTTTTATTTTCTTTTTGAGGGGGCCTGACCAGCTCCTCCCCTGCGCCGGTTGGACTGCCAAAGAATTAATTTTCTTTGAGCATATCAGCACTACATTGTCTGAGATAGTCCAAAAGATAGCACATTATCTCCTGCATTAATTGTCCAGGGAAATAAATGGTTGATCCCCTAAATGCATTGCAAAGCATATTGTACTCCCTAGAGGGTAACCCGTTGAAGTAGAGTTCTTTGGACGAAAATTTCAGCCGTTTTGCTCTAGCTCTAACCGTTTAGGCGCTAGTGGGTATTTTTGACGAAAATAAGATAAAAAATGTACAACTCTGCATGCTTAGTCCAAGCGACGGGCCGTTGACGGGGCCGGAGGACCGTATCTTTTGTACATTTTCGCTCTACCCGACTCGGGTGTCAGCGCCGCAGGCCAAGGTAGATGTATGCCTTGCCCGTCGCAGCGTAACAGTGCTTCGTGAGATATCGCGAAGCCTGTTGCGCGAGACGTGGTCTGGCGTACATCCTTGCTTAGCCTACCCAGATTGAATGATTTGCTAATCTCTCACCCGCGACCTCGGCGAGCCGTCCCTGTGTAGCTTTTCGGCGACCCGGTACGCCTGGCGCAGGGCGGTGGTTATGTCCTCCTTGTGACGTACCAGCACTGTGTAGCAGGCCAGGGCGGAGTATATCCCGAGCACCATGCTCAAGGGCATGCGGCGCGTGTCCCCCACCGATACCAATACGTCCACCACGCTTCCAGCGAAGAACAGAATCATGCTCGCCCTCGCTACCTGGTTTGACACCATCGTGATTGGTTCACACAGATTGTCGGCTTAGCGCTTGAGCAAGGGGTGAGGGGCCCTCTAGTATGGTTTTCGTGTACATTAAGTAAAGATGACAAATGATGATTTGATTGGCTGAGCGATTAGCGAAGCCCATTACTCCACTGAACGAAAAAGTTTCATTCCGTTTGTTTGTTTGTTTGTTTGTTTGTGTGTTTGTCTGTCTGTCCGCACGATAAATCGAGAACAAATTGAGCTAGCGACCTGAAATTTTCAGGGTCGTTTTGTATCATGAAAAGACAGATCAAGTTCGAAGATGAGCATTCTAGCTCAAAAATTGGCTTTTTAAAAAATCAAAAACTACAGGTCGCAAAATGCATTTTTATCAAATATTTTTTTATGGGTTCCTAACGGGTGAACCGTCAAAGTAGAGCCCTATGGACGAAAATTTCGTCCGTGTGGCTCTATCTTGTACCGTTTAGGTGCTAGGGGGCATTTCTTGACAAAAATGAGGTGAAAATGATCAAATGGTCGATTAAATCGCTAAAAAGACTTCATTTCGAAAATTTGTAACACACTCCTATTACC